CTCGTAGCCCTTCTTACTCTAGAGAAAACTTCAAATAGTGTAGGTATATCACTGGTACCTAAATGGGCACACACCGGTTTGAATTCAGACCTCAATCTGGAAAGAAAATGTTGTTTTTGCACTTTGAGATCAATTGAAAGGGGTTGATATGAATCCAATTCATTCCGCAAACTCTTCAAGCAAGCATAGTACTCTTCCACACTCCTATCACCTTGCTGTAGTTGAAAATACTCCTGATACAATTGATAGATTCTAGTTACATTGTCTTGTCCTGAATACAACTGCTTAGCATGTTCCCGAGTTTCTTTCATAGTATCAAAAACATCAAGTTCACACTGATATGAGGTTCCATACTGTTCCAAAGACATGCCACAATTTGTGCATTCTCTTGGATCCAATCTTTATACCCTACAGCTCCCGGGTCTGGTTTATTTTCTTTAATATCTTTTAACTTTCCTCTCGCCGTCAAATTTACCTCAACTGACTTCGCCTATGGTATGTAGTTGGTACCATTAAGTTTAACTGACGTCATCTGTACAACCATGAAATCACGTTGTACCATCACACTTGTTTTGTATTAACTGCCAGAAGCTGCCATCAGTTATTTCTGCAACACTCTCCCAAGTTGAACACCTTCCCGACTCAACAACAGCACTCAACTGACTTATTTAATGGTTCTGAAACTTCAACAGCATAGCCGCAACTCCTAAACCTGGAACATCAACATAAGAACTCCTTCTATGAGTCAACTAGCCTCACGGTTCACAGTGAACTACCCACCAAACACATCAACCACAGATATCAATCAACCAAACTTCACATTCACAGTCCCTTTTCGAACTGCCGAGTAGAGGGGGTCTAAAACACCATTAAACAGTCAACCAACGAAGCAACTTATGGCATAGAAGCCTCCTAACCTTCTAGGCGATCAATCCTTTTAGGTTCTTCCCTTTCCTTTCTTCTCGTATTAGCAGAAAACCTCAGCCAAACCAGTTCCAGACGTCCTTCACTGATGCAGTCAAGAAACTTTATCAACCAAGCTCTGATACCACGTTATCAGGACTGTATTTAATTAAATAAATAAACAGAAACTACTGATATGAGCCTAGAAGGAGAAGAGATGGAGAAGAAGTCGAACAGAATAGGGTTAACTAGTCTCTATCGAGAGAGAGAACTGCCACCCTGTATGTTTAATACATAATGAAAAGTAAAATTACAATACTACCCCTGTATACAGATACTTAAGAATAGAGACAAAACACTGATTTAAAAAAAGGGAAAAGACTAAAATAACCCTAGAACAAAACTGTATTTTAACAGTTGAAAGGTTGTTGGAAACAGGGGATAATCATTCGGAATCTGCTGTCTTTTGCACTTTGTTGGACAATCTGAACAGAGCAAAATAGCAGAATTTTTTAGGGGAAGATTGGTACAAAGGAAGCTAGGATTGGTAATATTGAGAGGAGTATTATGCATTGGGCTTTGAGCTTAAAGAGTTTGCTGGTCTTAAACAAGGCCACTTTAGGAGATGATGGGTGTTGGAGAATACAAACCTATTCGGGTACTGTCTTTGAGGATCAAAGAAGTTCTCCCTTAATCAGCAAATTTCATGGGACCTTTGTAAAGGGGAGACAAATTACAGACCAAATTCTGGTAGCTAATGAGTGCCTGGAGGACACGAGAAGATCTAAGAAGAAAGGCTTTGTTTGTAAACTAGATATGGAAAAAGCCTATGATTTGGTGGATTGGCATTTCCTTTCACAAGTGTTGAGAAACTGTGGGCTTGGAGAAAGGTGATGTAAATGGATTCATGGTTGTGTCAGTTTTAGCCACTTCTCTATCTTGGTTAATGGAGTGGCAAAGGATTTCTTTCTAACATGTAGGGGTGTAAGGCAAGGAGATCCTCTCTCACCCTTCCTTGTTACCTTTACTAGCATATGTGCTTAGTCAAATGATCTCAAAGGCTGATAGGGAGAACATTGTAAAGGGGTGGAAAGATTTGAAAGGATCTCCAATTTGAGAGTCAACCTTGAGAAGAGTAGTGTAGTAGGGGTAAATTTGGGAAATAGATTGTTGGATGTTTAGAATGCTCTATCTCTAATTGGCCTATGACCTACTTGGGACTTCCATTATGGGAAAACCCTAGGGAGAGTAGCTTTTGGCGCCCGATTGTAGAGAAGCTTGAAATTGAAAAGAGATTGACCTCGTGGAAGAAGAGTTATATTTCTTTTGGAGGTGAATTGCATTGTTTAGAGCTACCCTTGCTAACTTACCAACCTTTTTTTCTGTCTGTCTTTAGGATTCCTTCTAGGGAAGCTAATAAACTAGAGAGGTTGATGAGGAGTTTCCTTGGGAACTGGGGGAAGGTAGAAATGATCATCTTCTAAAGTGGGAGGTGGTGTGTAAAAGTAAAGAGGGAGATTTGGGAATAGGGAATATTAGGCAAAAGAATATGACACTTATAGGGAAGTGGTTGTGGAGGTGGCCTCTAGAGAGAGAGAGAGAGATTGTGGCATGAGGTGGTAGGAAGTGTCCATGGTCACTCAAAGAATGGGTGAGATGCTAGGGTATCTCGGCGGTAACTTTGGCAACACCCTGGGAGGCAATTCACAGTATTTCCCCCAACTTCGCAATTTTATTAGGTATGATGTGTCCAATGGTAATTCAGTTCTTCTTTGGGAAGATACCTGGGTCAAAGAAACTCCTTTAAAGGACCTCTTTCAATGATTGAAAAGGCTCAAAAGGCTGTGTCAAAATTCCCCTTGGAATCTCCTTTGGCACYAGTTTAGGATGTTGGATTTCATAGAGGTTTTAAGGGATTAAGAGATTGAGAGTCTAACCAGCCTTTTGAGCCTTCTTGAAAAAGTTTGTTTGGATTCTTCTGAGCCAAACAAATGAATTTGGACACCTTTTCCCTTGGGTTAGTTCTCTTGTGCTTCCTTCTTAAAGGCCCTTTGTCATTTTGAATCTCAACTAGTCTTCCCTTTTTAGGAGGTTTGGTGCAGGCCTATTCCCCCTAAGATCTTGGCTTTCTGTTGGGAAGTGTTTTATGAGAGGTAAACACCCTGGATAATCTACAAAAAAGAAGACCTTATCTTTGTCTTTCATCTAACTGGTGTATTCTTTGCAGGTCTCATGGTGAGGATTGTTACCATTTACTAATTTCCCGTGAGGTTACTACAGATTTGTGGGATGGCTCTTCTTCATCTTTGGGTGCAGGTGGAATAGGCCAGCAGATGTAAGCATGCTTTTTGATCCGTCTACCTTTGCTTGGCGCCAACGAAGAGGAAGATTAATGTGAAAGTGTGCAAGAGCAACTTTGCTTTGGACAGGGTGGGAAGAAAGGAATGCCAAAATTTTTCAAGAGGAGAGAAGCAAGCAAGAATTTAAGGAGTGTATCTTACATAGGGCTATCTTGTGGCTAAAATCTTTGGATTTATTTCAGTAATTCTCCTTCAATGATCTTTGGAGGCATTGGGCAGCAGTTGCAACTTGCAAGTAGCTCCTCTAGGAAGAATAAGGTGTATATGAGCTGGGCACCCCCTCCTGAAGGATTTGTGATATTAAATTTTGATGGCAACTGTCAAGGTAACCCAGGTCCCTCTGGGAGTGGGAGGGGGGTTATAAGGAACGGAAGTGGTAATGTGGCTCTCTAATACTTTGGCCCTCTACGTGTGGGGGACTCCTCTAGGGCAGAATTACTAGCTGCCCTCTAAGGAATACAGTTTGCAGTACAGGTAGGAGTGCAAACAAATAGAGGGTGACTCCAAGCCCCAAGGTGGTGTGGTGGGCTGGCTACAGAACCCAGAGAGTGTGGTCTGGTGCTACAAGAATGAACTGAAAATGTTCAAGTAGCTGACAAGGAATATGAGTGTCAGAATATAATCAATGAGGAGATTAGCTAATGCTATGGCCGATAGCTTAGCCAAAGCAAGGGGCAAATAGGGAACAATTGTATTGTGCACAATTGCAAATAGGTCGCAGGTTGTGCCTCTCCTGGAACACTTGTAACTGTTTTTTCTCCATTTTCTAATAAAAATCCTTTTATATATATATATAAACTATCTGGGTACCTCACCTAACAGTTTAATCTTTTAGGTTGAATTGTTCTTTGAGATGATATCAGACCCTATTTGACCAAATGGTCTAGTGTTCAATCCTCATAGCCCCAATTTAAATTAATTAAATTTCAGCACAAGGTTTGGGTGGGCCTGTGCTTATCCACACTTCAAGCCCAATAGGCTTTCACGTTTCAGGGACCTCACGTAACAGCTTAAGCTTTTAGGTTGAACGGTTCTTTGAGAATGAGGAAGAATCATCTTGATCGTTCTCATCCATTGTAGAAGGGTATCTTTGTATATGTATAGGATGTGAGATTTCTTGTGTTTAATTCCTGATATAATTGAACTTTTCTTTGAGGGAATTTCTCCCTCTTTTTGTATTAATACAATTATCATTTATCACAAAAAAAAATGATATTCAGTTCTACTTTCTAGGTGAGGCATTCTGTTCTCTTGCTGGTAGAAACAGGTTTTTTTCCTCCCCCTAGTGGTTGTTTTCTTTAGATTATGCTCTACTTTGTAGTTGATTAGGGACTATAGAAGGAGCAAATGCCAGTTTTCCTCACCCTAGAGGTTGTTTTCTTTAGACTATGCTCTACTTTGTAGCTGCTCTTCAACAAGGGGGTAGCCCATAAACCCCCAACCCAAGTGCAGGCAGGATTTGATCCCCAAGTCTCCGCTACAACCTGCAGCAGACCTTACCAACCAGCCAGTTGGCACCTTGCCAAATAATAAAGCATTTCAATCAATCATCTATGTAATTTGATTGTTTCTAGTTGACTGTGCAGGAGCTAGCATAGGAACAGAGATTTAGTAATCTGGTCATAACAATTTTGCATTCAAGAATTCCAAACTGTGATTTATCACAGAATGCACCAACTTTGGGTTTGGATTTCCTCTTAAGTTTATGGTTACTAATTATTTTGTTATCTTTTGCAGATCAGGGACTCAAACCGTTCTATGATAATGGCTGCTGCAGTACAGCAGGGATGCAAAGTTCTTGACCTGGGTATTACTCGTGATGACGAAGAACATCTTGAGAGGATTTTGGATGGTGCTATGTCTTCTGAGATTGACATTCTTTTAACTTCTGGAGGTGTTTCCATGGGTGACAGGGATTTTGTCAAGCCTTTGCTGAAAAAGCGAGGGACAGTATATTTCAACAGGGTAGACTGAAGTGTTCATCTATGTTTTTTCTTTTTTTTTTTGGTATTTTTTCTTGAGATTTCATTATGGTAATTTCTTGAACATTGATTTCTGGAGCAGTGCATATATAGTAAATAGGAATAGATTACAATCCATTGGATATTTTTTTCTTGACATGCTAATGATTGGATGATAAATTTTTATTCTTGTTAATTTCAATTTATTGATCCTCAGGTTTTGATGAAACCTGGCAAGCCTGTAACATTTGCTGAGCTTATAGTAAAATCAACAAAGGAAAAGGGAGCTAGGAAGATTCTTGCATTTGGTTTACCTGGAAATCCAGTGAGCTGTCTAGTGTGTTTCCATCTCTTTGTTGTCCCGACAATTCGTCTCCTTTCTGGATGGGAAAATCCTCACCTTCTAAGGTAAGAAAATTTTCTAAAAAGGCACTTAATGGTTTCTGTGCATCAGCCACTACCATATAGATGGGGTAAAGTGGACTAATCCATGACTTTTGACACAAGACCAGATATCTTTATTTTATATTTATGTATTGCGGTGGTCTTCTGCCTTACTCAATTATTTGTTGGGCAGATTGAATGCTCGCCTTGGACAGCCCATTAAGACAGATCCTGTCCGACCAGAATTTCATCGTGCAATCATTCGATGGAGGGTTAATGATGGATCTGGCAATCCAGGGTAAATTAAATTCACCTTAATCTATGTTGTCCCCTGCAAAATGCATAAAGGCAACTGATTGAACTTATTTGTTTCCTTCAGTTTTGTTGCCGAAAGCACTGGTCATCAGATGAGTAGCCGGCTTCTAAGCATGAAGTCTGCAAATGCACTGTTGGAGTTGCCAGCAACAGGAAGTGTACTTCCTGCGGGAACTTCTGTATCAGCCATTGTTATTTCTGATATTAGTGGCTTTCCTGTGAGTGATAACCCTTTAGCATTGGAGTCCAATATTTCCATCCAACATATATCGCATAAACAAACAGTTGAGGAATCACAAGCAGCTGAGGTTAGAGTAGCTGTTCTTACTGTGAGTGATACTGTTGCATCTGGGGCAGGGCCTGACCGGAGGTATGCTAATTTATGACTTTTTATCTTATTTGATCATAATTTTTTTAATCAATCTTACTTGATCATTTGCATCCAAAATTTTTATATTAGTTGTCTCACTAATTGTTTGTTTCTGTGTGTGTGTGTGTCTGAAACATTCTTTACATTAAACCTGATTATTTAGACTAGCTTGGTTCTTATTCTGCAAATGTGAGGGGATGTGGAAAGGCTCATGAGTCCAGTCCAATCCCTCAAGCTCAGCCCAACTAAACCTATTTATGTAGGCTTTTGGGGCCAGTCCTCCTGCTTAAGGTCAATGGGCCTCTTGAGCCCAGTCTTGGAACCAGAACAGAAAATGCTAAAAGAGTAATGAAGTTTGAATGAAATTGGTTTTCCACAACTTGCATTTTTAAGTTGCAAGTACAATAGGTAAGCTTGCTGCATCTCAACTGGCATCAGAGCAAGTTCTTTAGGCTGCGTTTGGAATCAGTGTAAACGTCATCAGTGTATCCATCAGTGTAAAATTACACTGATGACATTTTACACTGAACCAGGAAGTGACCGTTGCTTTTTTGAAAATAGTGATGGGTGGAAGAGTGTAAAGTTTTACATCGATAAAATCGATTTATTTTTTATTTCGATTATCGATGTAGAACCTTAGAGCTGATGAGGTTTTACATCTATTATTGACGTAAAACTACACTCCATCCAAACGCATACAAAACTGAACCGGAGTGCAGTTTTACATCGATAATAATTACACCCTCTTTCCAAACACATAACCGAACCGATGTAAAATTTACATCGCATCCAAATGCAGCCTTAATTGCCTTGGGACTGGATTTCCCCATAATTTGTACCCATTGAGTTGCATAGGACTAGATTGATTATTTGACCAAGAGTGGTATAAATAGATAATTTGTAATTCAAACTCTCTCTTATTCCTTCTAGGAGGTCATTGTGAGTAGTTTCATTGCGTTTATTCTGTAAAAGGTAGACAATGCATCTGGATACACCTCTTTGTGTCATTGTTTCAAAGGGGTCACTTTTTGATGCCAAAGTAAGGCAAAGCAGATGTTACTCTCTGCTAAAGTCAAACACTGCAGTACTGTATACTTTGCAACAATATCTAAGAATTCAGTAATTGAATGACTACTTTGAATCAAAATTTTTGGATATTGTTTTTATATTAGGATTGTCGCACTAAATGAGTTTTGCTTTCTGTTCTTTTGTTTCTCCAATATTGTCTCGGCCTGTAGGTTGTTTACTAACCAAACCATGTAAGTTTAGGATTGTTGAAATAATTTAGTTGTTTGTGTTAGGGTCTGTTTGGCTAGTTAAAGCGTTTTTTATTTCTATTTTTTTACTTCTGTTATGTCTGTTATTGTACTCACTTATAGCAGGGGCACAAGGGTCTTTTCCCTTCTTATTTCTGCCGCCCTATATATATTATAATAAAAGCTGGCGCCGCCAGCACTGTTACATTGCCAATCCCTTCTCTTCTCTTCTCCCTTCTCTCTTCTTCATCTCTTCTCTTCTCTTCATCTTATTTCTGGCCGGCCACACTTTCAAGATGGTATTAGAGCGGGAATACTGATTGAGAGAACAGATCGAACAAACTTCACTGAGAGAACAGATCGAACAGACTTCTCTCTTCCAACTTGCTGAATCTGGGTGGAACAGAGATCTGAATCTGGACTGAGGAAAACAGATCTACAACTGGTACAGTCCTTCCTTTTTTCTCTTCCTTACCCTCCTTGGTCGTGTACCAAGTGAAAAAACCAAATGAATCTGGGCTGCTGAATGTTGTCAGATCTTTATACCTTTGTTTTTTGGGATCGTGCGATCCTATTCCTATGTTAAGGTGACTGTAGGTCAAGGATGACCTGTTATCTCAATTATTTGGCTTGATTATAAGTGTTAAGGATCTCTCTTACTGATTAATGTTCTTAGACATTCTGGAAGGCTGGTAGGTGGGGACTGTTAAATCGTACAGGTCTGAAATCTGCCGAATATTGCCTTTTTTTTTTTTGTCCTGAAATTGGTATTGTTTGTGCTCAGACTGTTTTCAAACCCAAGTGTGTGGGTGTGGACCGAGTGGAGCATTTTTTTGTGGCGTAAGGAGGGGTCCTAAGTCYGGTGTTTGGGACTGATTGTCTGTTTTGACCATGCCGTCTGAGAATTCTGCTACTTCAGAGATTTTAGGGAGCCACAATGGAGTGACTGGGGGAATGGATTTGAGTTTCCCCATGGCTGTTATTCCCTTTGATGGTCTGAACTACCTTGAGTGGTCTAGGGGAATAAAACTCTACATCACTGCTAGGGGGAAAATAGGATACATCAATGGGAGAGTGAAGGAAC